GTTGCATTCATAACTGTGTTTTAGACTTACGTGGACGTCGCATTCGAACAGTAGGAACTATAAGTTTTCATCTTTTAAGAATATTTGTGTTTCGCTCTCTGCTTTATACCAAGTCCACAATTTGAACTTACTCCTTTAATCACTCGTTACATCGAACAATTTACTCATAAAATCAGTTAGTCAAATAATTGGTTAGTTCATCCATCCATCCATCTATCCAACCGTCAGTCATTTTTACTTTCTACCTTTCTCACCTTCTCTCTTCCAAGTGGTTTACTTTTTATTTTCTCACTCTTTCAAAAAATAAAAAAATAAAAAATACACGCTACAACAGTCAACTCTAAGGCTTTAAATGTTCAGCTCTTGAGAATGAATTGTTTAAAATACATCCACTTATATCATGAAATAGATTTTAGATTGGTTTATTAAGGAATTAAATTTTTTTCGGATAGGAACAATTGCAGTGTGTACAATCTCTTGAAATGAAGAAGTACCTTCTTTTCCATACAGATAGACTAATGTATGTATGTGTATATGAGTAAGTGTACATACAAATTCATGTTTCCCATCCTACATCCTGCACAAGTAGCATAGGTCTTTAATTAAGATGATTAGATTACATGATGTAAGTATTTATAATAATTCAGTCGGTTATGCTACACCTACTCTCGTGTACGCATATATATATATATATATATATATACTTCATGGAACTCAAGATGGTTGAAAAACTAATTAACGAATAGAACAACTTACATTAATAAGCAAGAAGAAAGAATAAAAAAAAGAGTAGAACATTGTGAAGAAAGACCATTCTATTAAGTCAGATGATTCCGCTAAAGTAAATTTTTAATGATCACAAATGCTCAGCAGAATTACGCAGATAAAGTTATTTTTTGTTAATACATTAATTACAAGTCATATATACATATATATATCAGGATGGGGGGTATCGTATTTTCGTTAATTATCTAGTCTTTTAAATTCAAATTTATCAGCATGTTTTGTAAACTTTTAAAAAGTTGATATGCTATTTCAGTAATTTAGCCGAGGAATCCATTCTAACATGATTGTATTTCTTAAATTTAATCACGTTTTTATCAAATAGGTAACTTTAAAAGTTTCCTAGGATATATAGCTCCTATAGCTTTGAGATATTTCCTTAGTTTTTAGTCTAGTACAAACGAGTTTACCTCGCATACACGTCAACATACGTACAAAAAATGTATAGTCTACTTGGAATCAGGTGAAGCACCATTTATTTATTACCACATGATCAAAATTAAGTATGTACTAAATACCTTCTATAATAACAATTTTGTGGTATTTGTGTTCTCTGGGCTGGATAGTTAATTTGAGAAGCTTTCATTGCCCTACTGGGCAACATCTTCAGAGCATACTTTAATTTGAAGTGAGCTTTTAGATTTCTCCACGAGTTTATTAGTCATATCTCCTGGTGACATTGGACGTGATTGGTTGTTTATGCGTTTTTTCACTGGAGAATCGTCAAACACAAAAGGTCTAAGTTCAAGTCAAGGGAACAATCAGTTCCAATACAAGTAGCCTAGAGGGTGTGAAAGCACACAAAATCAACAAATCACATCCAAGACCACCAAGAGAAATGACTAATAAACTCGTGGAGAAATCTAAAAGCTCACTTCAAATTGAAGTATGCGCTGAAGATGTTGCCCAGTAGGGCAATGAAAGCTTTGCAAATTAACTATCCACCTCAGAGAACACAACCACATAAAAATCATCCATCTGAGGTACAAATCTTCCCCATCATAATAACAATAATAATAATAGCTTTATTCGCAACAGTACTTTTGATAGAAATATAAATTTTTTAGAATGTATGCGATATTGCATCTACTTTCCTCATTGCAAAATAGAGAGGTGATAATCAGACAAGGCATTTACATTGATAATATTGTTTATATAAGAATGTGAATGTAAAATTAAAATTTAAGTGAAAATATTAATAAAAGTATAATAACGGGAGAAAGAATAAAAAGGGCCGTTTAATAAGTGTTTCTCAATAAGTTAATAGTGCCATACCCTACATTTTTCTAATCACATGAAGTTTCGCTGAAATTTTGTACTTGGTCATCCCACCATATAGTATCCTATAGTTGCTCCTGGTTCTGACTGGTAAGATTCAGGAAGAGAGATATGTATAGATATGATGATAAGGGTCCGACAAGATAATATTGGCTAATTCCTTGCATGATTCCATGTATCTACCTACAACAGTATTAACAGGTTTGTTTAGCGACAACCCACTCGCACTACCGACAGCTTTTAGTGCCCTTGGTAGAGTAAAAATCCTTCTTAAGTAGTTCAGGAAAGATTAAGAGAGGTGATTAATAAAAAAGAATAGGTAGAATACAAGAATTAGCAAACTGTAGATTTATGGACTGAGTGACTCCGAATTTCCTCAACTTCCCGACGTAAAAGGTTAGAAAAAGCATCCTTCTAGAAATTAACATGATGCGTGAAGACCAAGAAAGATCAGAGGAAATACAGAATTCAAGATATGGAACAGTCGACTCGATTTCAACTTCAGTGTCTTATTTGATATTAGAATCATGCAAACGAACCACTTCATGCTTCTGGAAGCAAAATCAACAATCTGATATTTGGAGGGATTTAACTTATGTCCATTTGACAAAGACCAGTGACTAATTTCTCATGAAAAGTTATTTATTTTGGGATATTCTGACTGAGAAGTAATCAGCCAGATCACCAGCATACTTCAGAAAATTGACTTCATCAGAGTGGGTTAAGTCATGTAAGAAGAAAGAAAACAGAAAAGGAGAAAGAATGACACCTTGAGCAACACCAGGGAGAGTAAGCAGAACAATGTACGACTCCCTGTTATATACAGTGTACAGCCTTTTATCAGAACAGTAAGAATGTAACCGTTTATTAACCCAGCTTTCTGCTTGCTTAGCAGCAAGCCTGTTTAACTGGAGAGGGCCAGGTTTGGGGACAAAGACAGATGTGTAATCAAGGAAGGCACATTGATCATTCTTACAACTGACACTGTCAGCTAGATTTGTTTTAAATTTCAATGACTATTCCATTGGCTGAAGTAGCTATGATTTTACTTACGAATATCATTTTGGATAGCATCTTAAATCTATGTTGAAAACTCACCATCTTACCTAGGTTTCGTGTTTATTGTCGCTTATTGGAAATACATATAACAAAATTGAAGGAAACTGAATAGTTCAGTAGTAACGTCTATGACTATAGCACTGAGTGACACAGGCTCTAATCTCATAGCTTCTTTTAAGGCTTTAGGTACGTCTTTATGTGGCGTACCAGTAATTGCGAAGCCAATGTTTACGGTTTCCTGTTGAATGTCTGCAACTACTTCAAATTACATATATTTACCAATAGGACCCCTGTGCAATATCAAAGTGATTTATTATTTACTGATATTTGAATAAAATTGGTTACATTCGACAAGTTTGTGTTCAGTGGTAGACTGAATGCACTCTCTATGTGGAATGTCAGTTAGTAGTGTTCACCAGATGTTCTTGATACTCACTGGTTTATGAAAAACAGCTGTACTGTCTTTTAAATAAATTTCCTTATAATGTGCAGTTGGCCAATAAGTGATCTGATAAAAATAACCCTCAAATATCCTTCAGTATTTCATTATACACCGACGTTTCATCGTGCTGTACACTACAAGAGAAGAAATAAGTAGAATAGATAAAACTCTGATTTTAAAGTGGACGGGTGAAATAAGTCTATTGTAAGTTATCTGATGATGTAGCTCATTGAGGAAAGCATTAGACATCCAACCAATGGGTTTGTGTTTAAATTTCGCACCACCTACTTTAGTCCGACCAACTGAATGGTACCGTCAGCCTTCACACGATAAGTTCTAATTAACTAACTAAGTAACCAATTTCTTCGATATAAGAGTTGCCGAGTGGGGATTTACTATTCAGCAGGTGGCGAGGGAGGCAATTTAAATCGTCATAAGACTGAGATCTTTATAGCAATGTCAGCTGAAAAATAGGTCCTACTGTTTAGTTAACAGTCTGCAAACGTGATTCTATGAAATTCTGCATCCATCATATAAATGTCACTTTTTTCTTGAGAAAACCATTTAGTTTTCTATCCCTATGAACAATGATGAGTAGAGTTGTTATCTGTGAAATTCCAATCACTAGACTACTTTGCCTTTTAAAAGGATACCACACTTACTTATCACATGTTTAAAGCTAATTTCACTTTTGTTTTCGGTACTCATCTTGGCTGATGTTGCTTTTTAGGCAAATTTTGACTACAAGTAGAGGAAAAAATTTCCTTGAATTTAAAAATGGATTTAGTAAAGGCTATGAGTTAGAAGGAGAAATCGAAAATCTGTATTTCCTTTAACATCATATAGTTTTATTGCATATTCCTAATAACTTTGATTACTGAGACTGTTTGCGAATACTGGTAATTCAATAAAACATTGAATACTTTGATTGGTTGGAGGATTTCATCATGGGTTGACATCAGTTAGAGAACCACTGGAAAACCAACTGGGAGTAGTGGGCAGCTGTTTCGTCCTTGTTTGGGACTCTTCAGTACTCCAAGGTTTTCCAATGGTTCTCTAACTGATGTCAGCTCATGATGAAATCCTCCACCCATTTAAAAAAATCCCTACAAAACCAATGCTTGAAAAATGAATACTTTGTTAAGCTGTTCTTTAAGCCGGGCAGATAGTTGAATACTGACTACATCTAGCAGTTTTGGTAGCGATGATGCATTATACGCCTAACATTTCTTGCGGTTGACAGTAGCATATAAGCTGTTTTCTTTATGAGGAATTATTATTTTTCAGCAATACAATTATCTCGACGTAGTGTGAGTAAAAAGGTGAGTGTATAAAGGAAAGTCCAATCTAGACACTTTTTAAAATGCAATTTTTATCTTTAATCTCCGATACTGACGTTACATTTCTTTCTTTTTTTCCGCTTCCCTGTCTTTTACAGCTACACTTTGCAGTGTGTTTTGCCGATCAATAACTTCACTGAGAAGATCTATGTATTCCTGTGGTTTTGGTTTGCTATTCTTGGATTATTAACCACTCTGAACACATTACAATGGGCAATGAATACAATATTGCCAGTACGTCGTGTACGTTATATCAAACAATATTTGAAGGCATTACGATTGATATCTAGTACAGAAGAGCGTGATTGTGCACGATTTGTAAATAATAATCTAGGCGCTGATGGTGTCTTCATTCTGCATGTTGTTTCTAAAATAGCTAGTGATCTTATCGCCTTGGATGTGACAGCCACATTATGGAAAAATTATCGACAGGCGAAAATCACGGGGACAGAAGAAGACGTTAACCGTCTATTGGAAACAGTCAATCGAGGTTCATCTGTTGTCTAACCTTAATGTGGGCGTCGATGTTTAGTTCCAGTGGTAGTTTATCACAAATACACACATACACAAGCATAACCGTCAAATCGTACACATATATGCACATACGTATTACTACTGGATGGATTACGAACCCATGTTTTATCAACCAAGGGAACATGACAACCCCAACTATTCCCTCATCGACGTCCACGTATAAATAAGCCAAAACAAAATTCTGTAACATCTCCAGTATGTCTGTCTTTCTGGAAATTATTTGTACTATGATTATTATTATTATTATATTCACTACTATCAATATTATCACTAGTATGTATCAATCACTCTTGATTATTTTTTGTGCAATTCAAATGTGGTTGATGAATCAACCAAGAAAAAAACAGAGTTCAACTTATTCATTTGCATACCTACAACATATATACACAACGAGGACCAAATATAATTCTCTGCTAAGCACTTCCAACTTATAAATACTGGAATTGTTTTTTTTTAAGTTTTAGATTTTGGTTTTCATTATTCCGCTATATCTCATTTAATAACTAACATTTCTTAAATTTTCTCTTTTATTTTCAACTCTGTTACTGTTATTATTGTTACTATTATTATTATTATAACTATTACCCTTAATAATATTATTGTAATTTCACATTTTCTATATGAGAAAATTTCTTAGGAATTTTCCTGTTTCACAAAGAATACATTTCCGTTGATCACCTAAACGAATGATCGTTTATCGGAATAAATTGTAGAAAGCAAGAGGAAAGCTGATTAGCCGTAGAAAGATCTGTGTGAAAGTGCTCCCAATCACCGTAGTTCCTATCACTGTCCGCCTATTCGCTCGCCCATCTACCACACACACACTCACACACACCTCATTTTTAAAATAAAACCATGATACTAAAACGCAGAGAAGAGGAAAACAAGAGTGGCTAAATGGGGATAAAGATGTGGAGAAAAGAAGGCAAAATAAAGTTTATTCATCACAGGAAAAATGTAACTGTGAAGACAGTGGAACTTAAATACACTATTTGCTTCTTACTTTTTTATTCTGCTTTCTTTCTTAACCATTTGCTCAAAATGATTTGTTTACTGAGATTGCTGAGTATGAATACATACATGCATATATTTCCTTCTCTCTCTCTCTCAGTCTTTCAACTTCCTCTTAGTGTTGTCTGTTGGTTTTTTTTTCGATTAACTAATCCTCACCCATTTTATCTCATTGACAATGGCACTATCGTTGTCACTTTCCTCACTATCTCTCTCTCTCCCTCTATCCATCCCTTTTTATCTATCTTCCTTTAATTTCTTGTTTATCCTGTATTCTTTTATATTTACGGCCCAACTTCTTGAAATATGCATGTGTACATGAGAAAAAATGCCTCTTCTTGACAGTAATCCCTTGCAGCTGATGGTTTCATTGCCCATACAAATTCTTTGGATAAATTACTTACGAGGTTACCACTGAGCAGTTCAAAGAAAAGAAAGAATGACCTATTCTCCTCATTATAGGAAAGATCTCCCATAATTCAATGGATGAAATTCTGTGAAAATTTCAAATAAAACCTATTTCTATATTAAAATAAATACGGATAAGTCGACAAATCATAAGTTATGCCCCGAATTACAATACAACACACATATATAGCATAAAACTAAAAAAATTTAAAAAAATTACAAGCTACTTCATTCTTTTATGTGCAATCTCCTCATACTTGATTTCCTCTTCATGCTTTTCCCTACTTAATCTACACGATCCCTTTTTCTCTTTCCTAATCGAATCTTTTAGGTTTTATTCAAATATTTACTTGTATATGATGTGTTAAATGTGTTTGTATGTGTGCATGTCTGTGTGTAAGTGAGTATAGTAGTGAAATTGGTTATCTTTAGCATTGTATATGCATATTGTCTTAACACACCACCCACGCACACACTGGCTTAACAGTACTCAACCTGTCTTACTTATTATCAGTTGAATATTATGTTTCATTGTTCATAACGCAAAATACTTGCGTAAAGCGGTTGTGTAGGTGAATACAATTTTTCTGTGAATTATGTATGCATACTAATCTCGCTTAATATTACCAAATAAAGTCAGTATGTTTAGATTTATTACAAGTAAATCAGCATTCCGAATTATTACTTCACATTTATTACAACAGTGTTTGCGAAGAAGCTCAATTCTTATTCTGATAAACAAACAATTAAATACACACACACATACACTCGCCTACAATTGTACACTCACGCATGGATAAATCAGACAAAAGAATAAATCAGGATATTTGAGGGACCAGTACTGAAAATTATAAATAGCACATGAACTGACAAATTGAGACAGACAATCATGCATATAACGTACATATGCATGTATTGTATACACATTGACATAATAATCTATAATTAGTCAATAAATCTGTATCAGTCCATCAGATAACACGTAATTTAATATAACTCAATGTATGAATCTTTTAATTAATCTTGAAATGAGCCAAAAAATCTTTTATTTAATTTTTGTCATGTTCCTGTAGTATTTTTTCCACTCATTTCAATCCAAATTGTGTTTACCTTGGTAGATGTGTTCATATACGTATATAATACGTTGTACAGTATATATATATATATATATATATACTGTACAATCAGACGTACAGTGTGTGATAGAACGCAACGAAATCTTGAAAATATTCTAGATTGAAACGAAATTATATATATACACATACATTTATATATACAGTTTGATTTTCTTTCTCTGTTCTCTCTTAGTTCAATAAATTCACTTCCAAGACAGTTAAAGGAACAGGGAAGGGAGTAAAAGAGAAATGAGAAATAAAGAGAAGAAGCGGGCGAACGATATAGATAGTGGGAGTGGGAGATTAGTAGTGAACAGAGAGAATGTCTATTAAGACTGAACCTAAAATTGTTTATTTTTAATTTCTCAAAGAAACAATGTTCTACTTCACAATTTTTTCTCCCTCATCTCATATATTTTCTTCGTAATTATCTTTTTATTTCATTCTCCTCCGGGAAATATATTAAATAAACTAAAATCTAACCTTAAGTGTTTTGTAAATTAAAACAGGAATCACCTAAATTTATCTACATTCTCCCAAATTAGAGTCATATACATATATATTTAAAGAGTGAGGCAGACGAAGTGATATTAAGGGATGTTTGTTACATAAGCACTGTATCCTCATATATATATATATATATATGACAAGAAGTAGACACCGTCAAATGTATAATTAATATATAACTAATTGATATTACGGAACTCAATTATAAGAATAATAATGATCATTATGTTTCTAAATAGCATTTTTATTCGAGGGTCCATCATCAGATTATCGATTGGTTTGGATCTTTCCTACCATATTTTTATTGTGCTACCAATATAAACATATACATACCTGTTTAAAAATGCATGGGCAAGTGTATGTTAACTTCATCTTAATTTACCTTTTTTTCTAAACAATTATTTCCTTTATCTCATGTGAAAGGATTCGATTTGATCACGACAGTACACACAATCCAAAAAGAAAACAACTTTGATCTTCTTATATGCTAATTTCTTCCGCTCTCTTCATTCTTATCTGCTGAATAAACTAGAGTATTAGGCTGATAAGTGGTCAACCACTTGGTGAACTGGGAAAGTAAATTTTAAAAAAAGCACTTCATTGATTTTGCTCACGGTTTTCTTGATGATGATTGGTGACTCTTCTTCTGTTATCTATTCTTTCTCTCTCTCTAAAAAATTTGCACTACTATCTTAAAATAATATTAAAAAATACAATAAAAATAATCTAAATCGTATATTTTGTGTATCTTGATACCTGGAAATAGGATTAATAACTTACTGATCTTCCGGGAAAACTCTTATGCATAAATCGTGAATCATGAAAACAATACAAAAAAAACTGTGCTCATTAGCTGCCGCTTACCTAATTTCAAATTTATCAGTTAGTGAATATCTTTTATTTATTTTGAAACATAAAATTATAGTATTAATCTGTCAATGGGCCTTCAAACGGAATACACTATAGCTAAGTGATCATTACAAACAGTGAATTAAAAAACGGTTACACCATAGACAAACCAACACTACAACTCTGATTCTGAGTTGTAGCGAACTTGCTTCCCTATCTAGATTGCAAATATTTCTTGCTTATATCCACAGGTGAGCATTAAACGAACAGTGAAATAGTAGTGTTGATCGACTCCCTTAAACATCTAATATAACAATTCAGTGACAATAGGCTTTTCAGCTTCAGTTAGTAGAATAGTGTAAAAGTGTGACCGATGAATAGGCATCTCCACTTTGAATTCGAGACTGTTTCACAAATTATCGATATTAGCCAAAGCTTCACGACTCTTTTTTTTTGTTGAATCATGACAGTGGAGAAGTATATAACTAAAAAGAAACAACTCTTCATTTTTTGTTTTAACAAAGATAAAAGTTCTTAATTCGAATTTCTCATTGGGAACCGGCCACTAGCTGCCAACAGCTGAGCTTGATCAAACAACCATCTGCTAACATTTCGACACTTCTTAGATTTTATGCAGTCTAAAGAATTTCTGACATCATAGACAGAATCACAAACAATTAAAGTGCATTCGATGACAACTTAATACAGTATGAGAATATTTTGGAGTAGATCATTCATAACTTAGTGTAAGCGTCACTCTATTAAGGCTAAACATTTCCTGCAAAAACACTCTAACTAAACAAACTCTTAACTAAGCATTGTTGATCAGATTTGTCGTTTATTCACTGTGTTTTAGTTCAGAAATCAAAACTAATTTCGTTAATCAAGTAGGGTTATGGAAACTGGCAACCCTCTGCGTGAATGTCACGCCGTATCATGAATTATTAGTTACTGAACGGGCACATTTTCACTGTTGTCATCTTGATCATGCATGGTTTCTTGTATGCACACCGCGGAATAGTTTCAAAACAAAGATGAGACGACTGTCAAATGCTCTTGAGTTTTAATTAACTGTCAGAGGAG